CAACCATTTAAGTGATTTGTGTTAAAAAACATATCATTGGACTTGACTCTCCATAAGAACCCATTTGGTTTTAGTATATGAGAATCTCATATGAGATGGCTACAAATGGTCCTTAAACTTGAAATCACATGGTTGTCTCATTAGAGGACTTATGCACTTTGACACTCATTTTGATGAATCCATTAAGGGTTACACGTGGGCAATTCATTGGGTGCTTTAGGAATATAATAGAGGTAGGTGTATGACTAAGATAGGACATGTTATTCCTTATATACTAAAGGAGTTATCATATTGCATTTTGATAAATGTCTACTTGAGAAATCTATAGCCACAATAGGAGTACACTAATAAAGCATAGTTGGTTTACTCTAAGAGTTAAGATATTTAGGGATCAAAGAAAACTTATGTGATCATAATCGAACAAGACTTATAACTAAATTCGAGATCACACTATGATAAGTTGACATGAGGACTAAATGGTATGGTAACCATATGCGTGAAAGGTAATAATGAATTAATTAATCCTCTTAGAGAATTAGGTAATCATGATACCTTTCTATAGGCCAATCTCAATTTATGTATCAAGAGATAAAAGAGAATTCTTTTGTTCTTAATATATTTTTAACATTTTAAGGAGCCTATTGAGTCACACACATACGTTTAAGTATTCACATGATGAATGAGAAGCAAAGATATTGGGATAGGTTTCCAACTTTGAAAGTTTTCTATTCTGGAAAGGGTTTCTAAAATGGAAAGTTTCCTTAAATTAGAAGTTTCTTAAAATGAAAAGTTTCCTTAATTAGGAAGTTTTCTAAAATCAAAAGTTTTCTATTTTAGAAATTAATTTCCTAATTTGAAAGTTAGTTCCATATTCGAAAATAAATAACCTAGAATGGAAATGAGTTTCCTAATTTAGGTTAAAAAATATTTTAGAAAATTGCTTCCTAATGTGGACCCGTTTAAAATAATATAAGATTATTTATTTGAATAGTCCAAATAAATTAATTAGGCTAGAACGATTTTAACCCATTAGGTTTAATTAAAAGCCTTAAGATATTTTGATAGGAGAATAAACGTCAACTCGATTAGATAAGAATGAATGTTATAAAGATAAAGATCAAAAAGTCCCCTTGGAGGTTAAGAAAGCAATAACCTAGAGTACTTAAGGGATTTATTGTTGCCCCCTCTTTGTCCTTGGAGGACAAGGAAACTCTCCTATAAATATATGGGAGAGAGAGAGGTGTGGCAACATAAGAAAAAAAAAGGAAAAAAAAGATGAAATTCAACCAAAATTAAAAAGGGCTACTAGAGGCACACGACAAACACAAAAAAAATAAATGGAGAAAATATTTTTCTTCTAAAACCCTAGCACGAGACACTCTTCCTCTCTTTTCGAGTTATCGTAAAATTACTCGAAATAGATTTCTATAGGAAACACTACACAAATTAGAAACTCGTGGAGCTAGCATCCTATTTTCCTTCATCAACGGAGGCCGAACACTTACACGGCTTTTCTACATACATGTATGGTTAGTAGATTCAACGGCTTGATCCTAGGCTCTTTGATGAAAGAAATTTTTTTTTTATTTCAAACCTTCATAGAATGCATGATCCTTCGAGTGGGGTTCATTTTTGTTAGAATAGGGCATTGTTTATGGTATTAGAATTAGCTTGGTTGGACAATCATGATGGTTTAACGTATGGTTGATGGTGATTGACAAAATGATGACTTGGTTTTCTCGGTTGCTTGTTTTGGCTCTTTTTTTATGTTTTTATTTTCTCTCTAAGTATGAGTGTATGAGTGTGGGTAGGGTAGTTTGTATTTATAATGTAACCTAGGTCAATTTTATCAAAAAAAAAAAAAAATCCTATTTTGACTTGGCAATTAGGTCGGACAACTAGGTTTGAGGTCGAGTGCGGCTAAGCCTCGTGCACACATAGGCTTGATACGCAGACTTCAATTCACACTGGGTTATCCGGGCCCCTTTTTTATTTCATCCTTTTTTTCTCTTTTCTAATTATTTGTATTTTTTTTCTTCTTCTTTTGTCTTTTTTTTTATATACTTTTATAGTGGTAAAAATAATGTGATGACACTATTGATAATATTTTATGATCTTTATTTAAATAGTTTAGATGTTTGTATAAATTATGTTCGACTCTTTGGGGAACCTTGTATCTTTATTAGATAAAGTTGGTTTTAGCTCTTTTGTAAAGTGTAGGATTTTGACCTACTAGCAATCCACGATGCCTTTAAACCTAAATAAACTAGTTTATCATGAACTTGAAGTTTTTAAACTCGTAATGTTTTTTCTAGTTGTTAGGAATGTTTTCCCTTTAGAACTCCGAGATTCTTATGCTTTGTTTCAAGAGATATTTTGGTTCAAAGAAAGGTAAGTGAACCTTTTATACCTAAGTAAGATAGTTTTTTACATCTTTTCTACATCTTTTGACTTACTTGATGCTAATCGCATCATAAAGAAACTTCTTAACACACTTTTGAGTTGGAAGGTTTTGACCCTTAGTTCCAAGAAGCGAGGATTTTGGTCTCTAGAAAGGTCGTGGCATCTTCGACCATATGTAGGGTTTTTCCCCTATGACCTTTATGTTTCTCTAAAGACTTACTCTTTTAATCAAATCTTCATATCTTAATAAGACAATTGTAATGTTAACCCTAGTTTGAAGAGAGATTTGGATCTTTATGAAGGTTTATAAAGCCTTTGTAATCTGGATAATATAGTTTTTTACAAATATGATACAAATAAGAGGGCTTACTTATTCTCAATCTTATTGGATGAGAATCTTTTATTGCTTTAAAACTTTTAGATTGAGGGGATTTTTACCCTAGATCCCATGAGGTAGAGATTTTAGCTCCTAAAAGGATTCTAAGTGCCTTTTGTTTAGGCGAAGTATTGCCCTCTTATAAACTTATACAATTCCAAGAGGCTATTCATAAGTAAAGTCATTAGTATTCCCTTTTATCGAGGTGAGGTTTTTTTCCCTTTTTACGGTTGTGGTTTCATAGTTGAACAAAAAAGCTTTTTCAACTAATTTATATTTATTTTTTTACATGGGGTTTGCTTTATAGTAATTCGTTGAAGTTTTTGATGATTTAGGTGCTCTTTTTTAGGGATTCTTCGGCTTTTAAACCGGTCTTCTTGTCTCTCTTTTGCCCTTATACTTGGTAGAGGTGCACCTTTACTAGATGACTTAGCTTCCTTTAACAATGGCCTCTCCTTTAGGTAATGGAAATTTTGACCCTAGATAGTAAGTGTTGATAACGATGTTGATTTTATGGATGAGGGATCTTCTAAATATGGCATTGTATGCTAAGTTTGTTTGTATGATTATGAAGGCAAGATGTGTAGTTACACTTCTAGGGAGGTGCCCATGGTAATCCGAACTTGAATAGCTCATTCTACAAGAATCGTTTCTCCTTCTATCCCTTATAGGGGCATTCTTATTTTCATAGGAGATATTTTCATTTGGTTAAAAGACTTTTTGAGAGGATATTAAAGGTGCTTCTTAGAAATATGAAGATCTAGTGGACTCTATGCTTGAAGACAGTTGTAGAGATTACTAAGGAATTATTATCGGGAAATGTTATTCCTTTTGCATCTCGCTCTAATGAACATGATACGCTCATGCCATGGCATTGGGTTTCTACTAATAGTAAGAACCTTGAGAGCCCTCATATTCTCTTATTAGAGTTTATTTATGATTTTTCCCTTGAGTATGATGTTGATTTGTGGGATTTCTTCATCTAGCTTCTCTTTCCTAGTGATGGCCTAGTTTGGCCTTTCACTTTCTATTTTGAGGAACTCTTTGATTATTAGTATTTTTACTATTATTTTTCAAGACATAGCAATACTTTGTGTCATAATCATGGTCTATATCCTAGTAGAGAATCGAGCTACTAGTTTAGAGCATGAGTCCTTGAAGCTAAGGATAAACTCAAGATCCAAATTGTTGTGTCATTTTTCGACCACCCTCCGCAAAGTGGTAGGTAGCACTTTGCACATAACCTTTAAACTCTAGATGACAAGCTTAAGGCTTTACTAGACATTCTATACATGTTCTCTTCCTTACTCATTGTAACATACCAGCCCTCTCTTGTAGACTGGGCCGGTCTTTCTTGTCATGGAGGATTCGTCGAGCATGGGACTATTGGTGGAAAAATGATTTGCGAGGCCTCGTTGAGGGCTTTGTTGAGTTTCTAGTGTCGGAAGAGTAGCTAATGAATTTATCTACTCTTAAGTCTACATATATACCTTAGTGAGCAACTCCACACATCGTTAAAGTTATAAGATGTCAACTAGCGAGAGACTAAAGCCGAAAAAATCTACGGACATTAGTTTTCAAGGAGTTTCTTAGTCATCATCCACGGAGAACTTAGAGAATAAGGAGTAAAAGGATTTAGAGATTAGTTTTTTGCTTAGTTCTCCATAGTCGGTACTACCGATGAGATTGAAGATCCTCGATCTATGAATGATCGGTCAAGCTTTCTCCTTGATTGATTATATGGTGATGAAGAGTCTTGAATTTGTAATTTTGACGTTAATACCTGCAAAACAAAGTCCTCCTCTTGTGTTTAGGAAGATTATTCGATGATTAAATTAGCGTATGAAGAGATGCAAATATAGCCTTAATAGGAGTGATAATGTAAATATTGTATGATGCTTTTTAGGTAAGTAGAGAGTGTTTTGTGGGATAGAAAAGATGTACAATGATAGATCTATCCCTCTACAATTTTTTGATTCGAGCATTGTAATGGACGAGTTAACTCTTTACCTTCTCTTTGTGGTGTTTTCTATCTTCTTTTAGGCTTAACTTTGTCATTTATGTTTTTCATTCTCCTTATGAGGCTTTTAAATTTTTCTCTCTACTTCTTGCTTTTTTCGTTTCTTTTTTCCTCCTATTTATATGTCTCGAATCTTTTTTTTTATATCCATTATTGGTTTGTCTTGTGTACGAGATAAGAAGTTTGTCTTTTCTTCTCGTAATGATGGTTTTTCCTCCTTATAATAATGGTATGTTGTTCTTTTGTCTTCTTACCAATATAGTGATTTTTCTTTTTTTTCTTGTTTTTTTTTTTTTTTAAAGGCTAAGCTATGTTCTTTGCATGTGAAATAATTCCTCACTTATGGCTGGTCTTGTTAACATTTTTTTATGACGTTCAAGGTTAGGTGTCACTATGATAAGAGAATAGGCAGTCCCTCGGTGAAATCTATACTTATTTGAGGATCTGCGTGGTCTTTGCAGCGGCAGCAAAGACACTTTCTTTTGAATGAACACGTGTCTGGAATGTTTTTCCGAATATATCAGTCCTGGTTGGCCTGGAGATACAACTGAATGAACGAGTTGGGAAACCAACCAAACAAACATTTTCCAAACTCCAACCCTCACGTATAAATAATGTTACTCAATCAGGGATAGCAAACGACATGCCGGCAACTTTACTAATGAAAAATAAACGACGTGCACCGCACAGAATCCTTGTTATTGGTGTTGTAAACGACATGTCCCTCGTTAAATTAAAATAACCCCAGCATTGCACCGGTTCCCTTCATCGCGCTTAATTTTCTTCCTCTTTCCCTATTTCAGATCCAACTTGCCTAAGGTTCCAATTCTAGATCCGCTTCACTTTCTCTTTTTGATATTTTAATTTGCTTTTTAAGACACTGATCTAAATTGGGTTATGATTTGTTTTTTCGCAGACTGGAAATGGATCCTGATGCAGTTAAATCAACTTTGTCAAATTTGGCATTTGGCAATGTTATAGCAGCAGCCGCTCGTAATTATCAGAAGGTTTGGTCTTGAAAGTTGTCTTCTTCGTTCATTTTCTCAAATGGTTTCTTGTAAAATCGGTCATATATGTCTTTGCTTAGTGTTGGGTCGTTGTTTATTTGAAAAAAAAATATATATGATGTAAAGTTTGCTTCTTTTTTTTTTTTTTTTTTTGGATTTATTTCAAGTTTAAGCTTCTAGCGCAGCAAACCTACTTTTTGCATCCCTTAATTTTGTATGGTTTATCAATTTGTTGGGTGGCTTTGTGTTCTATTGGGGAAGAGATTGATTACTTAATGAGAATGATGCTTGAAGAAATAGAGAAGCTCGCTTGCCCTGCTTTTAGAAAAGTATGAAATTTTATTGCTTGAATTTTGGATAAATAGATGGTTAGATAATGTATTGGTGATTAAAGTGGAAAATTTGAAGAATCTTAGGCAAATTAAGGAGTGTTTGTAGAAATCTAGGTTTCCTGTGAGTACTTAACCATTGGGGAGATTAGTTTACGGATCAATGGTAATTAGGGGCAAATATATGGGCCAATGACAGTGAACAGTTTGCAACAGAGTCAGGGATGCGCTTCAGGATGTATGCAAGCACATACCTTTTTTGTGTTCTCCTTCTATTGCTTTTGTTGTGCTTGTCGAATTGCTAAAATCTATTATGAAGTTCTCAGAGTTTTTAACTAGAAGTCTTTCTCTTCCAACAATTTTAAAATACTAATTTTGATTGAGGAAACTGGAGGTCAAACTGCTTTCCGGGCTGTACTTATTAGCTTTGTCTATGCATGGTTGGGAAAGATGTATGTGGTTGAATTGATCTTGCCAACTCAATGCTCAAACAAAAAAGTGTTGCTAAATTGGTTTCTTCAATTGTTTGTTATAGTTATTACCGACACTACATGCTTATGCTACAGGAAATACTTGCTCAAGAGAAGGTGCAGACATCAGGTTCTTTCAATGAAGAAGTTGACCTTGATGAGTTGATGGATGTAAGTTTGATGGTTCATCAATACTGGCACTTACATTTTCTATGATATCATTTATTTAAAGTTGGTTGCATTTGTTGTTTAGGATCCAGAGCTGGAAAAATTGCATGCAGACAGGATTGCAGCGCTCAAGGTAATAAGTTCATATTCCTTATTGTATGTATGTTTAGAAATGGATAAGCTTTCTGAAGTCAGTAAAATTCACCATAGAATTTGTTTCAATAGAAAGAAGCTGAGAAGCGTGAAGCCCTAAAGAGGAAAGGCCATGGAGAATACAGGGAGATAAGCGAGGGGGATTTCCTGGGTGAAGTTACTGGGACTGAGAAAGTGATTTGCCACTTCTACCATAAAGGGTTCTATCGATGCAAGTATAGCACTTAAACCCTTTCTTGCATGCACATGCACGCTTGCACACACACACACACACATGCACTGATGCATGCACTCTTGGAATGGGGACATTCTATGTATTTTGTGATTTATGTGAAATTTGATCGTGCTAATCAATTACCCTAGGATAATGGATAAGCATTTGAAGGCTCTTACACCAAGTCATGTTGATACTAAATTCATCAAGCTGGATGCAGAGGTCCGTACTTGAGTTTTTGTTGTTTGCTTAGGCAGTTAAATTGACATTATAGTTTTGTTCATTGCTAATGTTTGATCTAGTGTGTAAAATGAGTTATCATACGTTGTACTCATTATTCCAAAACAAATGCAGAATGCACCCTTCTTTGTTGCCAAACTTGGAGTGAAAACTTTGCCTTGTGTCATACTTTTCAGGTGAGGCCACGCTTGTTGTGTTTTGTTCCATTTATGCGCACCTTGGTCAATAGTTTCCTTGAAGTCGGGAGAAGAACATAGACATTAAATTTTGGGTTAGCTTTCATGATTCTGTTTTCTTGTAAAATAAGCAATAATGGCAGATATGTCATTGTGGGAAGAATGAGGTCAACCAAGACAAAGCCCTAATGATTAATGAATGATTAGCCAAAGTGTGCTATTGTTATGCCTCAAGCTATACATATGCATCTTCTCTTGTGTGACCTTAATATTTGAGATTTGCATTGGATATTGAAATGCATAAGTTACGTTTTTGTTTATCAAGTATTATACTTAAAGATCCACCGTTTAATTTTTCAGTAAAGGGATTGCAGTAGATAGACTGGTTGGCTTTCAAGATCTGGGAGGAAAAGATGATTTTGCCACTAGGACACTTGAGATTCTACTGATAAAGAAAGGTAACTGTCCAGCTAGCTGTGCAATTTATAGTTCCTGGCCAAGTCTCTAAACTATTATCTTACAGGTATAATTAGTGAGAAGAAAGATGATGAAGATGATGATTACCATGAAAACAGTCGAAAGACAGTAAGATCATCTGTCAATCCTGATGCTGATTCCGATTAAATGGCCAGGAAAAAAAAAAAAGACAACAGCAACTTTGTGCTTCAGTCATCTGGTTCTTTTGAAATGCGAGCTTGTATAATTATTTTTGCTATTTATATCAATTCTATTTATAGTTTCAGTTTCGTCGTTGGAAATTACTCAGAACATTTATTTATCATCGTGGAACTGAAATCAATGTTTGATCCTAAATGCGGAGTTAATGAATAGCACTTTAATTTGTTGCAACAGCTGTGTGTTTCAAATATACAGATAGCTAGCGTATTGGCCTTATCCAGTAGCAAGTGATTAGAACTTGTTTTTTAAAACCTGACTTATTCAACTAAAGTGAAGGCATGATTTTTTTTGGGGTTTAGAGGTTTCATCATAAAGTTAGGTGAGATAATTTACCTTTTTGCGTCATCCAACCTAACCGGAGTGTTAAAATTTACCAGCTGATCGTTGCAAGTGTGTGGCAGCTCATTGGACGTGTGACTAAACAATTTATGAGCATAGCAGCTGCTCCTTTGGGGCAGATGATGTTACTATCAGTAGCCCAGCGAAGAACCAGTACTATAATGTAAGGGTTTTCAAATCCTCTTTGAAATGTAGAAGCACGAAAGATGAAGATGAATATTTAAGTGAAAAAAGTATTTTAAGTACTAATGGTTCGAACCAAGAAAGACTTTTGAGAGGTTTCTTCTTTAGCTCCATTTTAATTTCTGTGGTGTTGCCCTCAATATTGTGTTAGGGTTTCCTTAACTAGTTGCTCGAAACGAAGAAGAAGAAGAATTGAGAAAGAATTTGTACTTACAACAATCAAAACAATAGAATGAATTCTGTTCCCTCTTCACATCTCATTGACCCTAAACTAATAGCTCTTGTAACTCATACTTACCTAACTGCTGTCACATCAACTAGAATGGTTTTAACAGTAATTCATCTTCACTCTAATCAAAACGTAAGTAACCCTAATATCACTACTAATCCGGTGTATAACAAATATAGCAAGGATTAACAAGGTTTATAACATATTGTAATAGCTTTTATATCGAAGGACAAATGATTGCCTTGAAGTCGTTAATTATAAGGGAGATCGTTACCTAGGGCGTAAAAAAAAAAAAAAAAAAAAAAAAAAAAAAAAGAAGAAGAAGGTGATATGGGCTATGAAATCTTTTCTCTAACCCAAATGAAAATTAACCTATATAAAACATAATAAATGTTTGTTTTAATAAAACCAAAGTAAAAACCCACGTCACATAATATTTGATAGTAAAAAATTATTAATTGTTCAAATATGTTGTAGATCGAACTGATGAAATTAAATAATAATTAAAAATCTAAATATGTTTAAGAAAAATCTAACTTCAATAAAAATCAAATAATTTAAATTTAATTAAAAATAAACCAAATTAATAATGTAATTTTAATAGGATTATTTAGTTTGAACGGAATACCTGCCGTTGTTCCTTGAACTCGGGATTGCATACTTAGCTGTGATACAGAGAAATATTAGGCTAAAATATTGTGATACCAAGCCATCAAGCCACGTAGCATAGAAACAAGTGTCACTTACTTAAGCGGTCTGTCCAGATGGTGTACGTAGGAAGCATAATATATTCAATTTTCTGTTAAGGAAACAAATTAGGTAGTGGCCTTCCACTCCCTCTCTAACCAAAGAACAGCTCCCTAGCTCTGAAAAAAAAACGCTATCTATGGCTTATATATGGTCAAGAACAACTATATTAACAACAACGACAACATCAGCATTTATCATTAAAAATAAACATAAAACAACAAATTATGCCAAAATCTAATTTGTCTACCCTTCCCCCGCGTCGTGTGCGCCTCACTGTCTCTCTCCGCAAAAATCTCCACAATTTTTTTTTTTTCCTTTCTATTTGTAGCCCTTTCTCACATTTGCACTCACCCTTTGCGGAGGCACGTACCCTCTCCATCTTCTCTCTCTCTCTCTCTCTCTCTCTCTCTCTCTTCCTATCAATCTTTTTTTTAAAAAAAAAAAAATTGTCGAAGCTAGAACATTGTTTTTTTGTGTTGTGATTTGTTCTCTCTTTTTTGTTTCATGTTATAAGTGGCGTTAAATTGGTGAAACGCAGGCATTTGGCTAAGGCTTTTTGTTGGTTGTGGCATCGTTCCTTTTTTTGTGTGTGTTAAAAGCACATCTCTCACATCAATGGCTGCAGTTTGTGTGCCTTTGTCTCCCAACCCAGGTTAGCTACCTAATTTAATCTTACATTTCAACGTGTTTTGTCAAACTATTCATATCGAACCATGCTAAGCTTAGCAAACATTCTTCCTGATCAAATTTCCATCATTGCATTTATGTTATCCGCTCATTCAATGCATGGGAATTTCGGATTAATATTCTGAAAAATTAGCATTACTCCTTCACACACACACCCCATCTTTTCGTTGTAAATCAATGCCTTCTTTTCCAATCCAAAAGCTGCCAATGAGGCACTGGTCCAATGGGTAAGGATGGTCCCAAATTAATCTCCCTTCCGGCAAGATAACAAAAAAGAAAAACCCGAAAGCTGAGAGGATTGCATGATGATGCCTATCAATTCTTGTGTGAATATTGGCAATATCAATGCTACTGAAACTCTGGTGAAGAAAAAAGAGGCTATCATGTATTAATCAAGATTACTTCTTTTTTAATTGAACAACTGATGTTTCTTGTACCTTTGATAGTGTTCGTTGTCATGTATTTTCTGAGCAAATTCCTTTTATGTTTTGACTTTATTTCATTTTTTTTTTTTTAATGATACATGGCTAAAGTGGACATTTTGATACGAGGGTAGGACAATTTCATGCTTTTTTCATATTCTGATGTGTCCTGTTTAATCGTTAGTTGCGATTGCTATGTATTTGCAGTACCAGAGATGGAACATTCTGGGGATGAGAGGAAGAATAGAATTGAATCACTGAAAAAGAAAGCAATCAATGCCTCCAACAAATTCAGGCATTCTTTCACAAGAAAGGGTCGCAGAAGCAGCAAAGTCTTGTCTGTTGAAATTGAGGATGTGCACGACGCAGAGGAACTAAAGGCTGTCGATGCTTTCCGTCAAGTCCTTATACTAGAGGAGTTGCTTCCTGCAAAGCATGATGATTATCATATGATGCTCAGGTTTATCTTTTTCTGGTCCCATGTTCAGTGATCTGATTGAATTTGTTATTCCAGATTTAATTCTCAACCACATTGAAATACGTAAATTTTTATTAGAATCTATAAATAATATATATACTTCACTAATCTTTAGACTTATCCTCCGATAATCTAGATTCTTGAAGGCCAGGAAATTTGATATCGAGAAAACAAAGCAAATGTGGTCTGATATGCTTCAGTGGAGGAAGGAATTTGGAGCTGACAGAGTCTTGGAGGTATTGATATTAAATGATCTTTTGTTTTCTTTATTTAGTCCATAATCCAACCGGATCACCCTGAGAATTGACCGAGTCTCATTATGTTTTTTTCTGCTATTTTCCAATTTGTCAGGAGTTTGAATTTCAGGAACTCAATGAAGTCTTGGAATATTATCCTCAAGGTCATCATGGAGTAGATAAAGAAGGAAGACCTGTGTACATTGAGTCATTAGGCAAAGTAGATCCTGCCAAGTTATTGCAAGTCACAACCATGGAGCGCTATGTCAAGTACCATGTACGAGAGTTTGAGAGAACTTTTGATGTCAAGTTTCCAGCTTGTTCACTAGCAGCAAAGAGGCACATTGATCAAAGTACAACCATCTTGGATGTGCAAGGAGTGGTATGTTTGAACCATAATGACTGATATGGGTAAATCAAATAATTGCTATCATCTGTGTAGTAATGTGATATAAGATTTTGATTATCCTGAATCTTTCATATGGCTTTCAAAGTTTCAGCACATTCAGTGGAAGGGGTAGTTGGGTTCTAGACCAGTGTTAGGGTGTCCTTATAATATGTGTTCCTTTTCTTTCCCATATTTTATAGACCATGGTATAAATTATAATTACCTCAGAAGTATTTATTCAATCTCAGAATTAAAAATTACAGGGCCTCAAAAGTTTTACTAAAGCTGCAAGGGATCTCATCACTCGCCTTCAGAAGATTGATGGTGACAATTATCCTGAGGTACGAAGAACCTGTGTGTTTGTCGTAGATTCACAAACACAATAAATTTTCCCTGCAAATGACATAGTAAATGTTATGTGATGTAAATTGCTGGATTCTCGGCAGACACTGAACCGCATGTTCATCATCAATGCGGGTTCTGGATTCAGGATGTTATGGAATACCATTAAATCTTTCCTTGACCCTAAGACCACAGCAAAGATCCATGTAAGTGTACACATTTCTATTCTGAATTGCTACATTTTTATTCTAAATTTCTAGACTGATGTAGGAAATTATCTAATTAAAAGATATCATTCACCAGGTTCTTGGCAATAAGTATCAGAGCAAGTTGCTTGAGATAATTGATGCTAGGTAAGCTATTTTCTGTTCACACATCATGTGGTGCTTTTTCCTAGACTTTTTTATTTTCCTTTTCTCCCTTTTGATCTCAATGAATGGCTTTTGTATCAGTGAGTTGCCGGAGTTTCTTGGAGGTAGTTGCACCTGTGCTGACAAAGGAGGCTGTATGCGTTCTGATAAAGGCCCTTGGAATGACCCAGAGATTCTGAAGGTGATCTGCAATACTTATAGTATTTTCTTATGTTTACTACGGTTGAACTGACCATCTCATTTAGTTTTTTGTTGAATTAGCATTCTTAGTTGATTCAATGACTTGCAGATGGTTCAAAATGGCGATCACAAATGTGCAAAGAAATGTGGAACTCATTATTCTGATGAAAAAACAATTTGTGAGGATGACCTAAGCTGCTCAAAGGTATAATATTGATTATTCATTTCCCATTCCATTTCCCCTGTTGGTTATGCCTCTTTTGGCATATATGGGGTGCCGAATTATTTCTTTTCTCCGAGTTGTTTGCTTTCATAGTGGCCAGAGTTAAATGAGAGTTCTTTTTAAAATCCTACTCTTACTTCCTATTTATGGACAGAGACATGACTCTCCTAAGGTGGAGTCAGCTCCAGAGTTTCCACAAACCCCTCCTATTCCTGACAAGGTAAGTCTAGCAAACTTCCTGTAAATCCTGTCACCTGCAAAAAGGTTCCATTTGTTCTGTATTCCTCTTTTCCGTGTGAGTACCAATTCTAATGCCTTTTCATTTCCACGTTTTCTCTTGTTGGAAAATTCAACTGCAGGCTTACAAGTTGGATGACTATGACCTAGTGGTTGATAAATCTGTGGATATGAATTGGAAAAAAGCAGTAGACAATGGTAAGTTTGCTCTTTTGAAATGTACATTACTTGCTAATATAATTACATAAGTATATTCTGGTGATTTCAGACTGAATTCTAATTGACCCTACAAAAAGTATGACAACTAGAATAATGAATTCGTGACTTTCCTTTTTCCTTTTTCTTTCTGAAAACTTACTGTCAAATATCATCGCAAGTTCGCTGGGGGAAAAAAAAAAACAGAGAAATGAGAGAAAGGGATGCGACGTCGTGATGGCCATCATTTTTTAAAAGGATGAAGGAAATGAAAGGATATTCATGCAACATTTAATCTCAATTCTTCAACCCAAAAACAAAAGAATTTTATTTTCTCCTGAATAGTACTATTTTCTTCTTAATAAATCATGATATGGAGGTTATTCCAAATTTTTATCATTAGCCATGCAATATGAGAAATTTGGCTTGTGTAACTGAAAATTAGGGCCTCCAACTGCATGCAAAATGTTGATCAATTATCCTTACAAGTTACATCTTCATCTGTCCTTTAAAAATCCAAATGGCATATTCTAAGTTTCTATAACTTGCAAAAACAGATTGCTATACTCAGTATGATGCTTGCAAGGCTCCCCAAGCAATCAGCTCACCAGTTTTTACCGGTGTGATGGCTTTAGTTACGGGCATTGTCACCATGATTAGAGTGACACGCAATGTTCCCAGGAAGCTGACCGATGCCACCATCTACTCCAATCCTGACTATTGTGATGACATAACAGTTAAGGAACAGTCACCTGCCATTCCTACTGCAGATTACATGACTGTCTTGAAACGCATGGCTGAATTGGAAGATAAAGTGAGTATTTTGAGTGCTAAGCCTGTTTCCATGCCACCTGAAAAGGAGGAAATGTTGAATGCTGCTATAAGCCGTGTTGATGCCTTGGAGCAAGAACTTATCACAACTAAGAAGGTAGTCTCACATGGAAATGAATGCATGGTAGTGAAATTAAAAGTAATAAAAACTGAAACTGTAAAATAGAATTCTCATTTGTATTGATTACTCTTGCTTATTCAGGCTCTTGAGGACTCACTTGCTCAACAAGCAGAGCTCGTTGCTTATCTTGACAAAAAGAAGAAGAAGAAGAAGATGGTACATTACCAATACATCACAAGATGGCTAAAGATTTCTTATTTATTCGGTTTGGAATTTTAATGGCTATATAATTTTCAATATTGTTTGGCCTGTGGTGCAGTTGTTCTGGTGAAGGAAGAAAAGCTGGATGCTGAAAGGTGCACAAAGAATGGTATTGAGGTGATTTTATGCTTTAAAGGATACTACATTGCGTGCTCTGGTTCAAATCCGTGTAGAAAATTCATGTATAAAATAGCAATCAAAGGTTTTAATGAAGGTCCAATTTGCCTTTCTGACACACATGTATCTTCAATAAATCCTGGTGGCTTATAGCTCTATCCAAAATATCAAGAAAAAACATCTGAAAATTTATTACTAGTCTATTGACAGTGGCAAAAGAGAAAAGAATATCCCTTCTTAGTTTATACTGTGCAAGTAGTCTTAAGAATTTACTCTGTTTTTGAAGGGCAGTCTGGCACAAAAGCTAAGCAAACATGACCTCTGAGACCAAGTAAGCTTGGTAACAATTCCTTGAAGAATGACTTTCAGATGTTCAAAGATTCATTAGTTCTCAACTCACGAACAATATGAAACTAAGGTAGGCTTCCAATTAGTTTCTTTCACCTTGTTTGTGGTTGTGGCCTATCAAACCAAATCGACTCCTAATTGGCTATTACCCTACATCGGTAAAGAACTACTTTCTACAATTGACATGTTGGAAAGGATGTGCACTAATGAGGAAAAAACTGACACGATAAAAACTTTATTCCAAGAATCATTAGTTGCATTACTAAAACTAAACATTTCACATAGAGAACCTTTCTTTATTACAGCCTTGAGCCCATCATGAAGTCATCCTAACTTCTTCAGTCTTCAAACTTCTTTCTGATATGATATCTTCAATTCTTTCCTTTAGGATCTTTAGATGCCGCCATTACAAGCAGTGTTAGAGAACAATACGCACGATAGAGGCACAAGGCATAAACCTCTACTTCTAAGATCTCTTTTTTGTTGTCCCTTCCCATCTTCCTCATTTGAACACTGTTTACAATAGATTGGTGATCATATAAAAGAAATTAATATATAGAACGAAAATAAGTACAATGATTCGCAACCTTTTCTCGGGAATAATATATATATATATATATGGTACAATGGAGAGCAGATTCCGTTTATGATCTAATTAGATACTTGTAATTATGAGGAAAAGGAATTTCTTACCACTTGCGTTGTTCTAGTTGGCTTGATGTTTGATGACTTCAAGTAAGGCACGCTCAGTGTCTGTCAGCAACAAGGACTAACTAAAGTTATTAAGAGGAACAAAATCCACCTTGCAGTTTATCAAGTTGAATTAAGAGAGGAAGTACGTCAGCTTGTTAGTTTATACTATGGACAGAAAATAGGAGAGGGATAAATCAGCTGCACTTGGTCATGAAGAAATTGTATGTACCCAATTGCTTGTCAATACAGAGGCAGTGTCTGTCTGCAAGTTACAATGTGCAAAAAAAGACTAAAAATATAAGCAAGGTCATATTGATATTATAATGCATTTCTTTAAGACAATAGGAGAATAATGTTCAGACTTGAGTATTAATTACTCTTCAAAAAATAAAAATAAAAAAATAAAAAATAAAAAAATTAGAAAAAAGTGCATTTTCATTTTACAGCTTTAGAAATGAAGTATATATCATCATCTAAGGTGTATTAATAGAGGCACAATTAGCATAACTATACTGAAATTAATTAGATCATGAAGTAGAGAAGACACCCACTTTTTTGCAGCTATTTGAAGGGCTATCTTTAAGTTCTCGCATGAAACAACCGAAAGTGTTTTCTGAAGATTGGCTAGAACTGGCGGCACCATCATAAGTGCTAGTCGATAAAAGCTCCACAGCTTGTAAGTTGAAGTCCAAAGAACTTGAAACCAATGAAGAACACAAATCCGTTGTTGAAATATTGATACTTGGTAAAATATGGCTAAAGTTATATCTGCTACCAGCAGATAGACTCTGTAGACTTGCTGTGTTTTTAGCGTTAGAGTCTGAGATATGCTGAAGAGAAGATAAGCTGTTGAGAGGCCATCGATTTTCACCTAGATCATGAGAATATTGGTGCTTGTATTTAGATGACAGAAAATCTGATTCCGCTACATTAAAGCTAGCTGGCATCATTTCACTTGGTAACTCTTCTTTGGTCTTCGCCTGTAGCAATTCATTGGCTGCAGACTGCCGGTTGAAACTAGTTCCATGGCGGAAACTCAATTCTTGAGTCCTGGAAACAGGAGGCCTAGACACCCTTGAATTTGGGATGCAATCAGTTAGATAACTGCTGTGAGTATTACTGTTAATATTCCTGCATGGTCATATAATTAAGAGGAAAGAATGATTATGATAAATAAAAAACTGAGTAGTAACATCCATTAAAATCCCTAGCTGGGTTCTGCCTACTTGCATGCTCACAAACCCTAGAAAAATAACTACAATATCAGAGAAAGCGTCTTTCAAAGATTAATTAGATGAATCATTTGGCAAATAAAGTTGAATCTTGCCTAAATTTCAGTGACATAATAAAAAACTACCAAACTTCTTCTCCAGTACCATATATTGTACTTAAATCCATGAACATATAGAAGCTTATACATGTATCTGTGTTTCTTAGAGCTTCAAAACAGAAGAGACAAGTAGAATTCTATTATATAAAAGAGGGGAAATTACTTATAAAACGATGCCTGCTGCTGCAGGGTTCAACTCACTGGTGCTTGAAACCTTATTGTAATCGCCTGCAGGTTGTGATAATAAAGAAGAATAGTATCCTGTAAACTGTTCTTGAAACTGATGCCGGAGGTGGAGATTTCCAGGCTCCATTAATTGTGTAATGTTTTAGACTTGAAAAATCCCTCCTGGATCGGATAAGCCTAGCTAATAAATGAACTGTGACGATGATTTCAGAACCTTTCACTCTATACTGAAAGAATCACACAAACAAAAAACCACCTCTTTGCTTGCCTAAATTTAGTAAGTTACTTTCCTCGCTCATATCAATTCTCTTTTCACACTCTCTCTCCCTCTCTCTCTCTAGCCAGATGCTAACTTTTTGCAGCTTCACTAAAATTGTATTTGGATGAAGGTTTTTGCACTCTCTGGATATATAGCAGCCCCCATGAAAGATGGTGTATGCATGTGTGTGTGTGTATATATAACTAAAGAACTGTATTACTAGCTAGCTAGCTTGACCCAAAATCTTCTCTTGTTATATTTGGCTAAAGGTAAGCCAAGGTCCTAAAGAAACTTAGGCAAGATGGTGCAACCTGGGAAAAGAAATACTTAACTGAGATTCTATCTATATATATATAGAGAGAGAGAGAGAGAGAGAGAGGTTTAATTAGTGCATATATAGTCATTTGTTTGTTTTAATAAGGATCATTTTATTTTAATAAATTATTACAGTCAGAATCCAAAAATACTGAAGATCATTAATTAATATTATTACTACTATAGCTAGCAGGAAGATGTGTTACCAGTCATGTAAATTGTAGACTCATTAAGATAGATTAACCTCTTATATATATATATATATATATATATATATATATATATATGATTAGCTAGCTAGGGTACCGTGCTTGATTTCATTTTTCAGCAGAATGTGCTTTCTTTTTTATTTTGAAGCTGATATAAATGGTTGTAGAATTATTAGCGAAAAGTTACAACTTCGATTTAATTGAAGTCTCTGGTGCTGCTACATATATGTATAATGCTTCTAATTAACAAGTAATAAGAGGTCTTTCATCAAAAGACGAGGTAATTATACTATAATAATCCAAGAGCACAAGAAAAGGGAGGCTCAGGGAATATGTGAGATTTACATTATGGGCAACTTTGTCGCTGCCTTCCCTTCCTTTCCTATACTCTTCCAGCCTGCTCCTGTCCAACCTTTTTAATCATTTTTTATTTTACTTCTTTTGATATATTATTCCTCATGTTACAAGTCATTGCATGTTCGAAGGTTCACCATTTTTTTTTTCCTTTCCTTTTTGAAATAATTTTATCCAACTTTAATTAAGTTAGTTCTTAATTTCTTGGTATGTACGTATGTAACAATCAAATGAGTACTATTCTCCAAAACAAAATAATCAAATAAGCCTTGAACCATTTCAATTTTTGGTAGAGGGTTTGGGGTTCAAATTCCAATACTTTCCAACTTATATAACCAAAATAAAAAAACCCTAGAGGAAATGACCATCTGAATCAACGCATAGATTCCTTTTATAAATAATTAGCATATAAATCACATTATGCAAATTCCTTCCCAATTATTACAAGCCCATTGGGATTCCAACATGCCTATACTATGCTCCAAGGCGGGCAGCTGGAATTTTAAAATCTAATTGAGAGAACCTAGTCTGTCTAATCCACTTGCATACATAGGCACCATATTGGAATCCACGCTGGATACATTATGCTTCTACATTATACCAAAAAAAAGTTCTTACATTATAAAAGACACACACATGTATACATACCAATTCTATGTAGGGGAAAGGAAAACGGAGGAACTTCAAATTTTTCTGCCATGATCTACTAATCCTTTTTCAGTTATTGCCAGTCAACCATTCCCAAGACTTTGTTTCAATATTGGCACCATTTTGCTAGCACTTCTGTTAAAGTGCCTCACCTTCAAAAAGAAGAATCACTTTACCATATACGAGTGTCATATTTGATGATATCCAAAACTGTTTGTGCATGGATTTCTATCTCTGTATAAATGAATCGTTAGGCTTATGGTTGATTTTTTTTTGGAGTCATAATCAAGTAAATAGAGTAGACCGATGACAAATAATTTTTTACTTACAAATAATTCTTTATTCACAAAGGATTCTTTATCCACCAAGAATATTGACCATTATAAATTGAGTTTAGTGTGTGAAAAATAAAGGTTTGAGAGTTTTTCTTTGAGTGTGAGAGTAATTGGATTTTAGATATAAAAATCATAATCATATTCTTGCACTAATCTTCTCTCATAATAAAGAATTAGTCTTGAGTATGTAGAGTAGGAGGCAAGATTTTGCCGAACCATGTTAAATCTTACGTCCATTTTTTATTTATCTCTGTTAATTTTTTTCTTTCTATTGAATTGGGTTGTTCGTTGTGATGTATTGAATCTATGGTCATTAATTTTCCCAACAAACTTATATAAAAGGTTTGGTTTCGAAACGAAGGATCATGCATCCTATAAAGGTACGAAAAAAAAAATTCCTTTCATATAAAGAATCTAAGATCATACTTGTTGAATCAACTAACCATATATTTATAAATTAAACTCTAAATAAAAAATTACCTCTATAGCGTAGATTTAAACCTTTGAAGAAAAAAGTTGTCAAGTGTCCAGACTTCTATTGATAATCCACACAATCCAATCACTAAAAAAAAAAAACACTCAAAATTGATAGAGTGCTAGCTCCACCTTTTTTGACTTATTTAGTATTTCCTATAGAAATCTAATCGAGTAATTTTGCGACAACCCAAAGACGAGAGAAGAAAAAATGGCATGCTAGGGTTAGAGAGAAAACAATTTTCTCTTTCTTTTATTTTTTGCCATGTGCCCTAATTATTTTTCTTGTTTTGTCATTTTTTGTCCCTTGAAAATCCATTGTCTTTACCGCACCTCTCTCTCATATATATATATATATATAGAAGAGGCTTCCTTGTCCTTCAAAGACAAGGAGGGGCGACAATGAGTCCCTAAAAGACTCTAGGTTATTACTTCAAAATCCTTTAAGGATTATGAATTATTTTACATGTGACCTTTTTGATCTTATCTTTAAAATATTCATCCTTATTTAATAAGGTTTATGTTTATACTCCTATCAAAAAAAATTTAGACTTTTAATTAAACCTATTGGCCCAATTAATTAATTTGGACTATCCAAATAAATTAAGTTAGATGATTTTAGGTAGTCCACATTAGGAAACCATTTTCCAAATGATCCTTAAACCTAAATTAGAAAATTAATATTCATTTTAGGTTATTTACTTTCAAATTTAGAACTAACTTCCAAATTAGCAAACTGATTTATAAAATAGGAAAATTTTCATTTTAAGAAGCTTTCATTTTATGAAACTTTTCATTTTTGGAAATCTTTTTCAAAATAGAAAACTTTCATAATTGAAAACGTTTTTCAACATCTTTACGTCTATTTAATCATGTGAATATTTAAATTTATGTGTGTGACTCAATAAGCTCCTAGATATATTCACAATATATCAAGAACAAAAGACACTCTTTTATCTCTTATACATAAATCAAGATTATCTTCTAGTAAGGCATCATGACTACGTAATTCTCTAGGAGGATTAATTAATTCGTAATTACCTTTCATGGTTACCATACAATTCAATCCTCATGTCAACTTATCACGAGTGTGATCTTGAACTTGGTTATTATTCTTGTTCAATCACAATTACATAAGTTTTCTTCGATTCTCAAATGTCTTGGCTCTTAGAGTAAACTAACTAAGCTTTATTAGTGTACTCCTACTATGGCAACAGATTTCTTAAATAGACGTTCATCGAAGTGCAATGTGATAACTCCTTTAGCGTACAAGAAATAACATGTCATATCTTAGTCATTCGCCTACTTTCATTAGATTCCTAGTGTACCCAACAAATCGCCCATGTGTAACCCCTTACTAGGTGCATCAAACAAAGTGTCAAAATACATAAATCCTCCAATGAGATAATCATGATGACTTCAAGTCTAAGGACCAATTGTACCCATCTCGTATGAGATTTTCATAGACTAAACCAAATGAGTTCTCATGGTGAGTCAAGTTCAGTTATATGTTCTCTAACATAAATCAACTAAGTGCTTGTTTTGACATTATCATGCCAATAGATGTGAGATCTCCTAATGCTATCATATAGAATGAGCATGTCACTCACAAGTCTATCCGCATATAGTCATTATCCATTCTTGAACATGTTATGACTTAGGACATTTAACGATATCATTTATGTGAATTAGTATTTATCTCACATCTTTCAATCAATCACTAATTCAAATACATATCATATGAACATCAATCTAATTATGTTCAATGAATAAATGTATATGAAAAGAATTAATAGAAAGATTTTTTATTATAAATAATGCAATAATATAATAAGTCAAACCCATCCAATAAGATTGAATCTTGGGTACCTATACTAACAATCTCCTACTTGCACTACGGCTTTGTGTACCAACCGTGTCCGTCACACACCTAGTGTGAGATTGCCTAGCTAGCGAGCTCGGGCTAGCTCGGCGTGCAACTAGCTTAGGTTGTTCATATGTACGAGCGCTAACATCCAACATCGACCTCGTGCGCCCCTACTAAATTTTAAACCTAAAAAGTCGATAATAGATAAATCACATAGTTAATCATCTTTAATAAAACATGTAATCAAATATTCAACAAAGGCTCTAATATCAATTGAAGGATAATGCATCCTATGGAGGTGCGTAATAAAACAAAAATTTCTCCATCTAAAGGACCTAAGATTATGCTATTGAATCAATTAACCATATATTCATGAATTAAAACTTTAAATAAGAATTATCTCTTGTAGCGTAAATTTAAACCTCTACAAAAAAGAGCAATCAAAGTGTCCAATCTCAATCAATAATCCATACGAGTCCATGCACTCACAAAAAAAGGCATTCAAAATTGATAGAGTGCTAGCTCCACCTTTTCTGAATTATTTAGCGCTTTCTATAGAAATCCAATCGGGGTAATGTTATGACAACACAAAGAGAGAGAATAAAAAGTGGCATACGAGGGTTAGGGAGAAAATAATTTTCTTCGTCTTTTATTTTGAGTTATGTG